TAACTTATTAGTTATAATAACTTTCCTTGTAGATTTCCTAGCATTTCCTACATGAGTTATCATCTTGTCTGTGAATAAACAGAGGTTTACAACTTCCTAATTTGTGTGTCTTTAATTCCTTCTTAACACTTTCTTGTCCTGGCTAGGATTTCTAGTACAGTCGAAGTGCCAGAAGTAGGCAATCTTACCTTATGCTCAATCTTAGGGGGGAAAGCAGTCCATCTTTCACCATTAAGTATAATAACTAAATTTTTTTTTACAGGTCACCTTTGTTAAGTTCCTTTTATTTCTAATTTGCTTTACCATGAGTGGTGTTAGACTTTGTAAAATACCTTTTTTATATCCAAGGAGAGGATTAAAAAAAATTTGTCTGTTAATATGGTGAATTACATTGATTTTTAAATAGCTATCCAAGTTGGCCTTCCTGGGATTAAAACACACTGGTTTTGGTTTATTATCCTTTTTATATGTTCCTGAAGTCAGGATATTAGGGCCAAAGACATTAAAAAATATCAAATAAAATAAGAGTAAAGGTTAAATATAATGCCTAAGAAATCTATTTGGTTGTTAAAACTATCAAGAAATGCAAGGAAGTGATTGATACAAATGTTTATATAATAAAATAGAGTTATAAGTAAGTGCGGGAGTAAGATGGAGTAATAGGACACAGAAAAGGACTTTGGGATGCTTAAAAAAGTTGTATTTCTTGACCTGGGTGGTGATTTCTAGAGTATTTGTCTTATATGACTTCATTACGATGTGTATGTATGTACATTATTGGTGGTTTTCATTATCATATGCATTCAAATTTTTAAAAAATATTTTATTTATTTGACAGAGAGAGAGAGACAGTGAGAGAGGGAACACAAGCAGGGAGAGTGGGAGAGGGAGAAGTAGGCTTTCCACTGAGCAGGGAGCCCGATTCAGGGCTCTATACCAGGCCCCTGGGATCATGACCCGAGCTGAAGGCAGATGCTTTTAGCTAACTGAGCCACCCAGGCACCCCCATATACATTCTATTTTATATTTTTAAAAGTTTTAGAAAACCATAGACTAAAGGATCTGTAAGCTTCTTATAGCTTCACATTTTATTCGTCTAATGTCTGCTAAACTCTTCCAAAAGAAATTAAGTTTTCTGGACCAACTAACTTACTGCCCCAAATCTGGTGTTCAGTTGATATTGCCCTAAATATCTGACAAGGAAATGAAGCTGAGTTGATGCAGGCAAACACTTAAAAGCTTTCCTTCTGTCTCATAAGACATAGAGGAGAGGTGCCTGGGTGGCTCAGTGGGTTAAAGCCTCTGCCTTCAGCTCAGGTCATGATCTCAGGGTCCTGGGATCAAGCCCCACATTGGGCTCTCTGCTCAGTAGGGAGCCTGCTTCCTCCTCTCTCTCTGCCTGCCTCTCTGCCTACTTGTTATCTCTCTCTGTCAAATAAATAAATAAAATCTTAAAAAAAAGAAAGACATAGAAAAATGAAAATCTTAGAATTTTCAAGAAAGGAACACTATCAGGATTATATTGTGTTCTAAATAAGCTCAGAGTAAAAATGAATTACTCATTCTTTCTTCTTCCCTCTTCCTTATTACATTCTTAAATGTTCAGTTAGTCCAGTTTTTAGAAAACAACAATACTACTAATGGCCATAGATAGGAAAGGTATTCAAGCAGTACGTCCTGCTGGAAACAAACAGAAATAGAAGTTCCTTGTGGAAAATAATTTGAAGCATTTTATCATCTAGAAACCAATTCATATTTCAAACCACAGTTTAATAAGCAGCATTATCTTACAGAAGACCATCTTTTTCTATTTCTTGAAATCAGTCAAAAAAACCCAAAGTTAATAAAAATATATTAACTTAATTTGTACTGGCTAGAATGTTTTAAATATCATTTGGAGTTCCTCTGTCATAATGGTAGTTAGGATGGCTTTTTATGTACCTGACAGTATTCTAGGTACTTTATGTACATTAATTCATTTAAAATTTTTGAATAAAGTTTTACATATGGAAAAATATTAAAATAGCTACTTACTGAATTTTCTGAAAATTGTATGAGGCTCAAAAAGTGAACTAGATTTTTCTAGTTCCTACATAATACTTCACAGCTGATTTGTTCTTATAAGGCTACTGAGGAATCTTTTAGTAAATTATTATGCGTAGTAAACTCAAAAAAAAAAATGCCCAACTCCCAAAGTGAAGATTTTTGCCCTTGAAGAACTGGAGTCAATAAATGAAGTTACATTCTCACCAAAATACTAGCCAATAGCATCCACCAGTACATTAAAAGGATTATTTACCATGTCCAAGTGGGATTTATTCCAGGGCTGCAAGGTTGGTTCAACATCCACAAATCAATCAATGTGATACAATACATTAATAAAAGAAAGAACAAGAAAAAAAAAGAACAAGAACAGGAACCATATGATACTCTCAATAGATGCTGAAAAAGCATTTTACAAAGTACAGCATCCTTTCTTGATCAAAACTCCTCAAAGTGTAAGGACAGAGGGTACACACCTCAGTATCATCAAAGCCATCTATGAAAAACCCACAGCGAATGTCATTCCCAATGGGGAAAAACTGAGAGCTTTTCTGTTAGGGTCAGGAACACGGCAGGGATGTCCATTTTCATCACTGCTATTCAACATAGTACTAGAAGTCCTAGCCTCAGCAATCAGACAATAAAAAGAAATTAAAGGCATCCAAATCGGCAAAGAAGTAGTCAAACTATCACTCTTTGCAGATGATATGATACTTTATGTGGAAAACCCAAAAGACTCCACTCCGAATCTGCTAGAACTTGTACAGGAATTCAGTAAAGTGTCAGGATATAAAATCAATGCACAGAAATCAGGTGCATTTCTATATACCAAAAACAAGACAGAAGAAAGAAATTTAAGGAATCAATCCCATTTACAATTGCACCAAAATCCATAACATACCTAGGAATAAACCTAACCAAAGAGGCAAAGAGTCTGTACTCAGAAAACTATAAAGCACTCATGAGAGAAATTGAGGAAGACACAAAGAAATAGAAAAATGTTCCATGCTCATGGATTGGAAGAACAAATATTGTGAAAATCTCTATGCTACCTAAAGCAATCTATATGTTTAATGCAATCACTGTCAAAATAGCATCAATGTTTTTCAAAGAAATGGGACAAATAATCCTAAAATTTATATGGAACCAGAAAAGACCTTGTAAAGCCAGAGGAATGTTGAAAAAGAAAGCCAAAGTTGGTGGCATCACAATTCCAGAGTTTAAGCTCTATTACAAAGCTGTCATCATCAAGACAGTATCATACTGCCACAGAAACAGACACATAGATCAATGGAACAGAATAGAGAGCCCAGAAATAGACCCTCAACTCTATGGTCAACTAATCTTCAACAAAGCAGGAAAGAATGTCCAATGGGAAAAAGTCTCTTCAACAAGTGGGTATTGGGAAACTTGGACAGCCACATGCAGAAAAATGAAACTGGACCATTTCCTTACACCACACACAAAAATAGACTCCAAACGGATAAAAGACCTCAGTGTGAGAAAGGAATCCATCAAAATCCTTGAGGAGAACACAGGCGGCAACCTCTTCAACCTCAACCGCAGCAACTTCTTCCTAAAAACATCGCCAAAGGCAAGGGAAGCAAGGGCAAAAATAAACTATTGGGACTTCATCAAGATCAAAAGCTTTTGCACAGCAAAGGAAACAGTCAAAAAAACCAAAAGACAACTGACAGAATGGGAGAAGATATTTGCAAATGACTTATCAGATAAAGAGCTAGTATCCAAAATCTATGAAAAACTTATCAAACTCAACACCCAAAGAACAAATAATTCAATCAAGAAATGGGCAGAGGACAGGAACAGACATTTTTTCAAAGAAGACATCCAGATGGCCAACAGACACATGAAAAAGGGCTCCACATCACTTGGCATCAAGGAAATACAAATTAAAACCACAATGAGATACCACCTCACACCAGTCAGAATGGCCAAAATTAACAAGCCAAGAAAGGACAGATGCTGGTGAGGATGCAGAGAAAGGGGAACCCTCTTACATTGTTGGTGGGAATGCAAGCTGGTGTAGCCACTCTGGAAAACAGCATGGTTTTCCTCAAAAAGTTGAAAATAGAGCTACCCTACAACCCAGCAATTGCACCACTGGGTATTTACCCTAAAGACACAAATGTAGTGATCCGAAGGGGCACGTCTACCCGAATGTTTATAGCAGCAATGTCCAGAACAGCCAAACTATTGAAAGAACCTAGATGTTCATCAACAGATGAATGGATATAGAAGATGTGGTCTATATATACAATGGAATACTATGCAGCCATCAAAAGAAATGAAATCTTGCCATTTGCAACAACGTGGATGGAACTAGAGGGTATTATGCTTAGCAAAATAAGTCAATCAGAGAAAGACAGTTATCATATGATCTCCCTGATATGAGGAATTTGAGAGGCAATGTGAGAGTTTTGTGGGGTAGGGAAGGAAAAAATGAAACAAGATGGGATTGGGAGGGAGACAAACCATAAGAGACTCTTAATATCACAAAACAAACTGAGGGTTGCTGGGGGGGAGGGGAGGAAGGAGAAGGGGGTTGGGTTATTGACACTGGGGAGAGTATGTGCTATGGTGAGTGCTGTGAAGTGTGTAAGCCTGACGATTCACAGACCTGTACCCCTGGGGCTAATAATAGATGTTAATTTAAAAAATAAATAAATGGAAAAAAAAGTAAACGGAGTTACCATAGAGTTACTTATTTCTCTAGCTTCATTAGAAGAGAAAAGGTTCAGACCAACCAAAAGAGAGCTGATTGGGAGTGCCTGGCTGGCTTAGTCAGCATAGCATATGACTCTTGATCTTGGGTTGAGTTTGAGCTCCACACTGGGTATAGAGACTATAAATAAGTAAACTTTAAAAAAAACAAAACAAACAAACAAAAGACAGTTGATTGTTCTCTTGATGAGGATGTAAGGTAATCATTTACTTACCCTCCATGATAGTCAAAGGATCTTCCACTTTGGGACGCAGGATATTAGGGCCAAAGACAGTGGCCAAGTTCTGCACACTCATTTTGTTAACTCCAGAATAGGACTGTACTTCATCCAAGAACCTGTGTTCAAATACAATTATGAAGACAAAATTATTTAGAAATTCAAACATCTCTCAGCCAAATGCGGGGAAAATATATTGCAAATGATTAAGGATCAATCTTGAGGAATCATTCAAATATCATCTCTGGCCTGGCTTAGTTTCCTCTTTCAATCATAGAAACAGGTGTATTTGGATAATGCTAATATGGACAAGAGACTCAAGAATATGGATTTTCTTCCAATCCTTATATAAAACATTCAATTTATATGTGTATTCAATTTGAAAACTATAAAAAAAGACCATCTGTATAGTCTTGTATTTCAGAGGAGGAATTAACCCTCTTTATTGAGTAATTTGTGAGCTTCAAATTTATAGTCTATTAAAAAATGAGATCAAACATGGTTTAAATTAAAACTTTAATTCTACTGATACGAAAAATTATGAGCACATTTTTTTTCAACTTATTAGGTGCTAAAGATTAAGGGGCGTGAATTAGACTTTCCTCAAATGATTTTAGTAAGAAGGATTGTTTTTGTAGTCTTTCAGCCTTTTTTCACTCCCCACCCTCTCTTCATTTCTAATTTCATGGTTTACTAATTGTACTGATGAAACAAAGAGGAAGTGATGAAAAATAAAAAAAGAACTCATTTTTTTTCATTTGGTTTTATTTACTTATTTATTTTTTATTTCAAAATTTTATTTGAATTCTAGTTAATATATGAGTAGGATTTAGTGATTCATCAATTACTTTAACACCCAGTGCTCATCAAAATAAGTGCCTTCCTTAATACCCATCACCCATTTAGCCCATCCCCCACCCAACTCCCTTCCATCAACCCTCAGTTTGTTCTCTATGGTTAAGAGTCTCTTATGGTTTGCTTCTTTCTCTCTCTCTCTTTTTTTCCCTTTTCCCCTATGTCCATCTGTTTGGTTTCTTCAATTCCATACATGATTGAAAACATATGGCATTTATCTTTCTCTGATTTATTTCACTTAACATAGAATGGATAAAGAAGATGTGTGTGTGTGTGTGTGTGTGTGTGTGTGTGTGACCTGGAATATTACTCAGCCATCAAAAAGAATGAAATCTTACCATTTGCAACAACATGGATGAAACTAGACTGCATTATGCTAAGGAAAATAAGAGAACTTAATTATTACTTAAAATAATATATTTTAGGCGTCAGACATTGCACTAACTTACTGAATTCTCAAAGCAACTCTTTGAGGTAGATACTGATTATCTCCATTTTACAAATGAGACAAATGAGGCACCACAGTGGCTAAGAATATTCTCTGAGGATGTACAAGTAATAGGTGGCAGAGCTGAGATTTGAACCCAGAGTGTCTGACTCTAGAGTCTGTGCTCTCGACTACTCCCCTATGACTGTGAAGAAAGGCGCCTGCTCCACATATTCATTATTGTTAGATAGCTAGTGTAAAACTGAAAGGCAAAAACTCACACCAGTGTAATTTCTTATTTGATTAAGACTTTTAGCTGAAACAAAAAGCCTGCTTAAATGTTTCAAGAGGGGCGCCTGAGTGGCTCAGTGGGTTAAGCCTCTGCCTTCGGCTCAGGTCATGATTTCAGGGCCCTGGGATTGAGCCCCACATTGGGCTCTCTGCTCAGCAGGGATCCTGCTCCTCCCTCCCCCTCCGCCTGCCTCTCAGCCTACTTGTGATCTCTCTCTCTCTCTCTCTCTGTCAAATAAATAAATAAAATCTTCAAAAAAAAATGTTTCAAGAGAAGTGAAGTTCTCCTACTATGGAGATAAAGACGGGTAATATAGTTCTCAAGGAAGAGCCTTTTCCTTTTTACTTAAAGAGGATGTCCTCCTTTCTCATTCACCACTGCAGCCTGAATTAGTTCAAAATCTTGGGACAGAACGCCGATGTGTTAATGAGTCTATGTTATCAGTGAGATGATTTCTTTCCTTTTTCTAAATTTTGAAACCTAAGCTCATATTTGCTTCCTACCATCACCAGAAAAAGTTACAGTAGGAGATTCTGGAATTCCTACTCAGTTACAATTGATGTGATATCCACAGTGTCAGGCATTAGTCTTAAACTGCATAGTTCCCAGTCTGCCAAATGTTTACCTAATCATGACACAAAAAGTATATGTAAATGATAACACTGTATTGAATTAAAAATTTTATTATTTAAAAATAAACTGAGAGGCTTTCCTTTAAGATACCTTACAATGACTTGTAGTGCCAACCATCATCTCTTTATTTAAATTTAATTTTTCAATTTTAAATACTTGGCGTCTTAATTTTTTAAGTTTTTATTTAAATTCCAGTTAGTTAGCAGACAGTGTAATATTAGTTTCAATTCAGTGATTCAACATTTCCAACACTTCCATTTTTGTGCTCATCTCAAAAAGTGCCCTTCTAAATCCCCATCACCTATTCACCTACCTCCTCACCCACCGTCCTTCCAATAACCATCAGTTTGTTCTTTGTAGTTAAGAGTCTGTTTCTTGGGTATCTGGGTGGCTCAGTCAATAAGCTCCTGCCTTCAGCTCAGGTCATGATCCCAGGGTCCTGGGATTGAGCCCCACATCAAGCCCCCTGCTCAATGGAAAGCCTCTTCTCCCTCTCCTACTCTCCCTGTTTCCTCTCTCACTCTCTTTCTCTCTGTCAAATAAATATATAAAATCTTTAAAAAAAGAAAAGAGAGAGTCCGTTCCTTTGTCTGCCTCTCTCTTTTCTCCCCCATGGTTGTTTTGTTTCTTAAATTCCACATATAAGTGAAATCATAGGGTTTCTTAAACAGGGGCACAGACATGGCACATACCATCCCAAGCCATAGGGAAATATGGTCATGAGTGAGAGCTTTATCAAGTACAATTAGTGTCCTAAAAGAACCAAACAGTAATGTCTTTTCAATAAGTCTTGTAGTAAGAGAAAAACAGAAAGAAAATAATATTTATTCAACTTAAAAATATAATTTAAATGTTAAAACAACTGTGTGGAATGTGTGTTTTTAATACTCTTTTACCTAGTAGGACACTTAGAGAGAATAAGAAAATTGCATACAGACACATAAGACATCAGTGATAGAAACTGGACTCCCGTACAGGTCTTTCTCATGCCAAGGGAAATGCTCCTTCTCTAAATGAAGGTACACAGCACATGTACAAACAACTGATGGAAGTTCGAAGCAACATATCCCTAATATGTAGATGTAAGAGAGACTCAGAAACAAATGACAAAATCGAGCAATTTCAGGGCTCAAAGAAAGCCTTGAGATTATTTTATCAAACCTCTTAATTTTACAGAGGTCAACACTAGAGCACAGAGCAGGTCACTGATTTTATTCATGGTCAAAAATAAGTTAGTATCAGGCTACATATAGTCTCGTTCTCTTTAGTTTTGTCTTCAGGACAAATCTTACCTGCAAATATACTTCAGGAGGTTGTAATTGACCACTGGCAAACTCTTCACCTGCTTTGCTAATTCCTTAACACCCTGAGTAAAAAGAAATGGAGAATAAATGTTATCTAAGTGTTGGCCTTGGAATTAAAGCAAATGAAAAGTGGGTATACAGTTCTTTTTTCATTAGTTTCACACATCATCAGTGAGGAATCCTGTCCTGAAAACTTGCCGCCATTACAGAGAGGATTTCGTAAATATTTTCAAAGATGTGAAAAAGTATTTAAAATATTTCCATAAGTACTATTTGTGGAGAAACAGATGTTAAGTGAAGCCTTTCTAACATTATTAATACTTGCTCACAGTTGACTAAAAAGGGAAGACAGCCTCATTTATAATAAGGTTATCTGGGGAAAAAAGCAGCCTTAATGTAGTGAGGATCTTTCTCATTTCCGACATTCCCAAAACAGACAAACACACGTCTACTGACAAATAAGTCTCTCAAGATGGACCATGTCTAGGATACACCGTTTGGGGTAGGATGGAGAATGAAAAGCCCGCTATTCATGGACATTTCACAAAGGGATTAATTGCGTGGGTTCTTCTCATTGTAGAACTTCTAAAATGTAAATGGTCCCAGAAATGCTAATGGATAATGTAATCTAATTTGTTCTTCTTCCTGAAAAAGACCAGATGGTAAATATCACAAGCGTTCTGGGACATATGGTCTCTGTCTCAACTACTCAACTCTCCCGTTGTGGTACAAAAGCAGCCACAGACAACATTACATAACAAAGTAAAACTTCATTTATAAAAACAGGCAGCAATTTCAACAAGAGTGCCGAGAAAATCCAGTGGAGGAAACAACGGTCTTTCCAACAAAGGGTTCTGAGACAACCAGATATCCATATGCCAGAGGTTGAAGTTGGACCTTTCCTCATATCATAAACCAAAATTAACTCAAAATGGGTCATAGACTTAAATGTAAGAGCTAAAGTTACAAAAGTCTTAGAAGAAAATATAGGAATAAATCCTGGTGAGCTTGGTTAAATATTTCTTAGATATGACATTAAAAGCACAAGTGACAAAAGAAAAATAGATAAATTGGACTTCATTGTAATTACAAATGTTTGTGCTTCAAACGACACCATCAAAAAACTGAAGAGACTTGGGGCACCTGGGTGGCTCAGTTCTTTGAGCATCTGTCTCTTGATTTTGCCTCAGGTCATGAGAGTCGGGGATCTGTGCTCAGTGGGGAGTCTCCTCGAAATTCTCTCTCCTTCTCTCTCTGCCCTCCGCCCCCAAAATAAATAAATAAATCTTTAAAAAACTGAAGAGACAACCTATAGAATGTGATAAATATTTGCAAATCAAATCATATATCTGATAAGAGGTTTGTAATCTAAACTATAAGAACTTTCACAACTCAAATTAAGACAAATAACCCAATTAAAAATGGGAAAATGATTTTTCCAAAGAAAGTATGTGAAGAGCCAATAAGTACATGGAAAAATGTTTAACATCATTAACCATCAGGGAAATGCAACTCAAGCTCGAGGTGATCTCACTTTACATACATTAGAACGGCTATGATAAAAAAGAGAAATAACAACAAGTGTTGGTAAAAGTGTGGAGACGTTGGAATCTGCATGAGTTGCTGGTGGGAATTTAAAAATGACGGAGCCTCTTTAGAAAACACAGAGTTACACATGGCCCAGCAAGTCTGCCTCCTGGGTATAAACCCAGGAGAAATGAAGACGTGTGTCCATGCCAAACTTTGCACATGAATATTCACTGCAGCATTAATAATAATAGTCAAACAACGGAAACAACCCACATATGCTGCAACTGAGGGATAGATAAATAAATGAATAAATAAATAAATGGCATGAAATACTAGTATATGTGGTATAGTGTGAATAAACCTTGAATACAGTGAAAGAAGCCAGTCACAGAAGACAATGTAGTGAATGATTTTGTTTATATGAAATAGCCAAAATAGGCAAGTCTATACATACAGAAAGAGATTAGTTGTTGCCAAGGGCTGGGGAAGGTGGAGCCAGGGGAATAGGTATGGGGCTTGTTATAGGATGATGAAAATGTGCTAAATATTCTAAAATTAGATTCTGGCAGTTGTTGCACAACTCTTGAGAAACAGTTGGCCCTTGAGCAATGTAGGGAGGCGTGAGGGACACCAATTCCCCCAACTCAAAAAACCATGAGTAATTTTGACTCCCCCCAAACTTAGATAGCCTACTATTGACTGGAAATCTTCCTGATAACAGTTGATTAACAAATATTTTGTATGTTTTATGTATTATATGCTGTATTCTTACAATAAAGTAAATTAGAGAAAAGAAAATATTAAGAAAATCATATGGAAGAGGAAGTACATTTATTGCACTGTACTGCAAAATTTCCGTGTGTAGGAGGACCCATGCAGTTCAAACCCATGTTATTTGAGGGTCAACTGTATACTAAAATGCACTGATTATACACTTCAAATAGGTGATTCTATAGTATATAACTATATCTCAATAAGGCTGTTTTTAAAAATGGTAGAGAGAAGCAATGGCCACAGTCACCAAACTGTGGAAAGAACCAAGATGCCCTTCAACGGACGAATGGATAAAGAAGATATGGTCCATATATACAATGGAGTATTATGCCTCCATCAGAAAGTACGAATACCCAACTCTTGTATTGACATGCATGGGACTGGAGGAGATTATGCTGAGTGAAATAAGTCAAGCAGAGAGAGTCAATTATCATATGGTTTCACTTATTTGTGGAGCACAAGGAGTAACACAGAGGACACTAAGAGATGGAGAGGAGAAGTGAGTTGGGGGAAATTGGAGGGGGAGACGAATCATGAGACTGTGGACTCTGAGAAACAAACTGAGGGTTTTGGGGGGGGGGTTGGGTGAGCCTGGTGGTGGGTATTATGGAGGGCACGTATTGCATGGAGCATTGGGTGTGGTGCATAAACAATGAATTCTGGAATACCGAAAAGAAATAAAATTAAATAAAAGGAAAAAATGGTAGATAAGATTTGGTAGGTGGCATTGTTTAGGTAATTTAGAGGGGCTCACAATGAAAAAGAGAATATGAAATAAGGCATCCAATTTGTTCATGGAATGTTTGGCCTGATGTAGCCCACAATTAACCACTTAGAGGAGCAAAGTGGGCAAGGAGGGCTCATTTCATTTATTAACTTACAGTTTTCTTTTTGATAAGAGAGGGGATTAAAAATGGGACCTGAGTTGTGTGTGTGATATCTAAGTGCGTGTAATGTCAATAAATACAATAGTGGAAAATAGTCCAAGGATGGGACAAAAGGAAATTTATAAATTAAAAACTAAGAACATTGATTAAAAAAAAAACAAACAAACCCAAATGAAGGTTTTTCTAGAAAGAAATACATCAACTTACAGCTTCTTCGTCCTTGCTGAGCAGTTTGGCACAGGCCAAAAAATCTTCATACTTTGCATAAGGAATAACTGGTTCCGGAAGTTCTCGGAGATAGAGTTTAAGAAGTGATGCCACTGTGTGTACATCCGTGTTGCTGTGGAGACAGAAGTGGGAAGATATTCTCTGGAGTAAACTTTATTTTACTTTATCCGATTTAGTTTTTCATCAAATACACATTGAAGAGTCAGAATTCCATACGAGTTGGCAATTCAGTCAGGAAGTTCAAAATAGTCAGAAGTTGAAACACTTTTCTTTTGTGTGTACTTGATGTTAAGCAGAAGTGTTAACTTTGGAAAACAGGGCCAATATACCAGACTTTAAATGAAATATAATACAGTCTACAAAAAACACCAAATCCATCGAGTGTGCATGCATGTATTCAATGTCACAATCAGTTTGGAATCTTAGCTTCATTTCCTATTCTTTAGAAGACATTGGTGATTGGTTACAGACATTAGAAACTTAGTATGACATGTTATAACTTTTTAAGCAGAACTTATTTTGAAGGTGATTGATTCTCAGCATGATTTCTTGTCTAATATTCTAAGATAGTTGGGAATCCTTAGGGTCTTCTAGAAAGAGAAGGAATATACTACAAAAATGAATAAAGAAAACAAAATCTGTCCTTTGTATAATGTACAAAACTTATTTTTATTCCCTACTGACCATGAGAGTGATAGGATTCCTTTTTTTTTTTTTTTTTTTTAAGATTTGATTTTTTATTTGACAGAGACAGAGGGAGCAAGCACATACAAGTAGGGAGAGTGGCAGGCAGAAGCAGAGGGAGAAGCAGATTCCCCTCTGAGCGGGGAACCCCATTGTGGGGCTCGATCCCAGGACCCTGGGAACATGACCGGAGCCCAAAGGCAGACGCCTAACTGACTGAGCCACTATACTTTGTGCTATCTCCATGTTATTCCATGAAGATGGCAGACAGTAAATACTACAGGAGGTGAATTTTGGTTGTGTATTTATTTATTTAACTTTGGGTGAAGGGTATAAAAGTGTGGCAAGGAGAAACTGGTGGGCAGGGAGTGAAAGGCCAATTGACCTTGAGACGTGGAAAAGCGGCAGTGCACAAGGTCAGGGATTCTGTAAGTATTGAGAATGAACATCCCACTCCCACACTGAGTTGCAGGAAGTGACATGTCCCCAGATGGGTATACCTTGAAAGCTACCATACTGTTGAATTTCCTGCCTCAATGAATATTCTCTTGCCTCAAGGGTGACGTGGAAGCAGAGCTGACATACAAAACTACATGGGCTGGGACAATGGGCATCTCAGTTCTCAATTTTGGATTTGTGTTGATTTCATCATCTATTTCCCACATGCCTACTCTGTACTGAACTACAGAAACACACAATGGCTAGGACCTCAAATGGTCAAAAAAAGATTATTTCAGCCTGCTCAAAATGTATAATCTAGTGGGGATAGGGCATATTAAGTAGATAATAACACAAGTATATTATTTCAAAGTGTGGTGAGTGGTAGTAAGGAAAAGTGTCGGATGATATCTAATAACAAGAGAGGGCTGATGAGGGGTTGGAGTGCTTCTCCAAGGAAATGATGCATAGGCCACTGAAGGGGTGTGATAATTAACCAAGTGAGAGCAGAAGCACAAAAGAAGTCACTCCTGCTTAAAGCAAGGCAGGTAGACAGAGCCACAAGTGAGAGGGAACATCTTGTCCTTGAGGAGGTAACAAAAAGCTAAGGGAGAGCCAAGTTCAGAGTGGGACTGGATGAGTTCTGCTTATAGGCCGTGTTCTCACAGAGCCTGGGACTCTACCTCCCCCATATTAGAGAGGGCGAAGGCTGAGCCTCTTCATTTCAGGGTTGAAGCCAGTCAAAGCAGGTGTTTTGTCAACCATTCTGCAGGTTAAAATGATGGAGGTGATCTAATAGGGCTTGTCTTAAATTAATTTTCTTCTTTCATAAATAAATATAGGTTTTTCGTTTTAAAATTCTGAACTGATAGGCAATATAGAAGTCAACTCAGAGGCTAGTAAAGAAAATAAAAATCACATCTCAAAAACTGAGCCCAAGCTCATTAATTCCTTAAATTACTTGCTACAAAATTTTTTTAAACAGATAGTCCTAACATAGTGTCAATGGTAAGACTAGGTTTATTTGTCTGTGGGTGGGTTGTTTTTTTTTAAACACTTTATTCCATGCATATCAAAGCCCTTCTGTGTTTCTCTGGCTATGTAGTGAAGAACCCAACCCCTGAAGGTACAATCATGAGCACTTACAAAACACAGCCTGGGACAGGATAGGCGGTGCAATCAAATATTACAATAAATGATTTCCATCATTTGTTTCCACTCTAAGCCAACCCAACCGTGACTAGGTTGGTTGTGTTGCCTTCAGAGACAAAGACTAGTGTGTTAGAGGTATTTGAAGATACAGAGAAGAATATCAAAATGAAAGACAAAATAAGTATAACTTCAATACATGGAGTATGTTATCTATAATTTGACTATATAAGTAGAATATATAAAAAATCTTTGTGAAGAAAATGTAATAAATAAATGAGGCAATAATAATAAGAAATACACATTTAATGAAAAATGCTGTTCTTGTGTTTCATTGATTCTCCCCGGCACACTGTTTAGAAGGTAACTTGCTTGCTACTCTCTTACTATTTCGCTTCTAACGAAGTTGAGCTGTAGTACTGAGGACGTGTGAACACTAGATGGCACCATTGCAAAGTTAGATTAGTCACAGGGCACAGACATTGCGAAGGATGAAAGGCTGCAGAATCATTCTTCATCCACCAGCAATTTTCTTAGCACCAGAGCTGCAGTAATGTTCCAAGAATAGAAATATTTGAGCTATGAATCAAGGCAAGAGACGTGGATGGGATGATGATTTTATTCTTCCCTAAAGTGATGCGTCACATTAGCTTTCTAGCGTTAGAGTGCACACCCACACATGGTTAGTTATGTAGAAATGAGGAAGAAAAAAATGACCAAATACTTTCCCCTTTTTTTTTCAATTAACTAAGGTTATTAAATTTTTAATTAAGGGCTAAAAGTTAAAAATACATTACTCTCTTTTGGGGGCTTTATTAAACTTGGATTATTCTGCGGAAATCGAGACACCTACATTTTCCTGGCATTCTCATTTTTGGCTTTGTCCTTTCCCACTGAATGGAAGGAAGCAATTGCTTCTGGGAAGACTCCAGAAGCAAGTATGTATGGTGGTTCTGACTCACCTCAAGGGGCCCACAGTCCATCTGCCCTTCTTGCCAGAATGCCACCCACTGCAGCGGGAAGTCTGGTGCTTGTCTGAAAAATCTCTCTGCATCCCCACTGCACAAAATGGCAGCCATCTGCGCCTCACTGTCTAGCCTATCTCTCACTGAAAAGCCACGATTCTAATTAATATTTGCTTACTCTGGACAGCCAAATAAGTAAATACTAATATTGTATGGTAACTGCCCAGTGTACCTAGGGGAACGCGTCATCTTTGTCCCAGAGAAATATATCTCAGTCTTGAACAAAGATATGACAGGTGGCTCAGTCAGTTTAATGTCCGACTCTAAATCTCAGCTCAGGTCTTGATCTTGGAGTCATGAATTCAAGTCCTGCATTAAGACTACTTTAAAAAAAAAAAAAAGAAAAAGGAAGCGACCGCACTGTGACAAGTCAGTGTACAATGGAGGATTAAGATACCTAACCTGGTTAATAATAATGATAACAACATTAGCAGCAGCAGCAACACACGTACAAACATTTCACCGTACATAGGGCCTGTGAGCAGGTCCTGGCACTAACCCTATTTTGGGTACTTGAACAAGACACCACCCTGGTTGAAATTCTTTCTGGCTAATCACTAAGATACGAGTGGTTTTTAAAGGCTTTTGGTAGAAATTCAAGACTATTTGCTAATGTAAAATCATTATACAAACCTCAGGTCTCTTTCGCTCAGCTGGTGGTAGAATCTGTTTTCAGAAATTAAGATGAATAATCAGGCACATTCTATCCAGGGATGACAAAGAGGCAGAGACAGGCCCCAGGATCCTGAGTAAAGGAGCCCGCAGAGCAGAAGATGCTCATAGCATGTGTCCCTTCACTGATCAACATACAGATTTCGTTTTCCTCTTAGATTGTACTTGGACTTTACTTCTGAATCCTGCTTCCTCACGTACAATCTTTTTACCAAGCTTAAAGGGAGGATTTAATGACTTTTACTGATTGATCTAATTTTGTATTCTCATGCGTGTGCCTTTGGTCATTCTGGAATCCCTCTACTGATATTAGTTCCCGATAATAGTTCCCAAATGCTTATGGTGGGCATGGCTTCGTGCCACATGCTGGGTGACACAGAAATGAACAATGTAGATCTTTGTGTCCCTCTTGGGCTTATATCTCTAACTAATCACCAACAATATTTTTCCATACCATGCCCCTACTTCTTAACATTTCCTATAAATTCTGGCTGCTAAGTTGCCAGCAGGTGTGAGATCTTAAGAATGTTCTTCACAGGGGCACCTGGGTGGCTCAGTGGGTTAAGCCTCTGCCTTCAGCTCAAGTCATGATCTCAGGGTCCTGGGATCAAGCCCCGCATCAGGCTCTCTGCTCAGCGGGGAGCCTGACTCTCCCTCTCTCTCTGCCTGCCTCTCGGCCTACTTGTGATCTCTTTCTCTGTCAAATAAATAAAATCTTTTTTAAAAAAAAGAGAAAAAGACTGTTCTTTACAGTTCCTGGAAATTGACTTCCCTATTTATACTCTGAGTACCATATAGGCCTCTCTTACTAATCTGAATAAGGATAAAGAAGTGTGACAACAATCCTTCCTTGTTCATCTGCTATCTCCACCCCCTCCTTCCCTGATAAACAGACTCTCATCCATGGATGAGTTCAAATGGCACAGTAATTACAAGTATAATACTACACAAGCAAAACCTTGAAACTCTGAGGTCTCATAATTAGGAATGGGAATTTTTCACCCTGGATGCTAGGGGCAGAACACAACATCACCTGTTGATTTTACTGAACAAAATGAATTCCAATGCATCCACGCTGGAAATTATTAAAGATACTGTGAACTTATTTGCAACACACACACACAATGAAATGACCCCAAATTCA